TTTTTAAAAAAAACTAATTTCTAATTTTTTAAATAATTTATTTGGGGCTCGTTTACATTTTTTTTAAAAAAAAATTTAATTTCTTATTTTTGTAATAGTTTATGGGGACCGTTTGAATTTTTTAAAAAATATTGGCACTATGGTTGTAATTAATTGTTTAACTTTTTTATTTAAATAGGAGTGTGTTTTCATTATTTCACAACTATTTATTGAGAAATTGGATGAAATTGGACAAAAATGATGATTTAGGCAATCAAATGTGTAATTACGGGTGAAAATACCAAAAAAAATGAAAGGTATGGATATTTTTCGCTAAAATAGTGAAAGGTAGGGACATTATGTGTGCTAAATACCATTTTAATAAATTATTTGAGATTCATTTGCGCTTTTTAAAAAAAAATTGAGACTATGGTTGCAATTCGTTTTTTTCTTTTTTGTTTTATTTCAAATGAAGTGTATATTCGTTATTTCACAATTTTTAATTGAGAAAATATATGAAAATAACCTTTGCGTGGTGAAAGATGAAAATAAGGGTGAAAATGCCAAAAAAATAAAAGGAAAGAACGTTTTCACAATAATAATGAAAGATTGAGACGTTACGTACTAATTACCCTGAAAATTACATCAAACCATACATTTTAACTTTCAATTTCATTAATCATGTTGTCTGAATTTTTTTTCAAAAATCAGGTCCAGTTCCACACCCACCTCATCTAATCCCCAATTAAAAAATAATAAATAATACAAAAATCTTTGATTGGAGATCTGATTTTGGATTTTGGGGATGGCTTTATTGGCTGTGGGACTATAAGGACATTGTGATGTGAACTGTGATAGGGAGAAGCAGCAAAATTTGGGAATGATTTCTATGATATGAAATACGGTAGTGTGAATTTTTCATGGGCAGATTCAGATTTGTGGTGTCAATTTCAACAGTCTTGACTCTATCTCTTTTATGATCTGTGGAGTTTCTGTTCATTCAGGTATGTAGCCAATTTGTACTGTCTTCTTCTGGTTCTTCTTCAGAATTGGCAACCTTCGGCGCCGCATTGCGGCAGCTGCGACGGGCACCGCTGCTTCATACCATGTGAGTGTGTATGTATAATGATCTGCTTCCCGCTTTCTGACTCTTACACCTACTTTCTTATGCAATGATCGATCTCCATACACGATGTTGGAAGGGGGTGAGTTGAGGTGCAGGGAAGGAAGGGTAATTTGTGAGCATCTATATATATATATATAAAAACAGAA